TGAAAGGAACCTTGGAGTAAAGTGCTTGTCGCATACTTTACGTCTTCTCTTTTATTGTTCAGATCGCTGTATAGTTCTAGCTTGCGGGTTACAGAATGGCTTAGGAAATGAATATAACGTTCAATTTGCAAGACTTATCAGATAATTACTGTTTATTGAATAAACGTAGTATTCTTCAAAATCACTTCAGTAATTCATGTGAACAGGAGAAAAACAACCAGATTCCTTTCTTCGACATATTTTTAAATAAAAGGATGATGGTTCAAATAAACAATCCATTTTTAGAAAGCCAGCTTTAACAGGCCAGCATTTTAGCTATAGCCTAGTTCAATACAAATAGGGCTTGATAAATGGACTATTTAATGAGACTGATCATATTTGCGCAAACGATACTATTGATGTCGAAACATTGATGGGGAATTGTTATCTTATGAAATTCATGAATCAGTGTGAATGTCATAGTATAATGAGACCTTTGATACAAAAATAATGCCCTTTTGCATCAACTTACCGACCAGAGGTGAGTCAAACAACCATTTTTTAAACATAGGCTTTAGTCAATTATTAACAAAAGATACTACGCAACAAAGTTCATTATCAATAAAAAATCAAGCTTCACCGAGAACATAAATGGCATGTTGAAGATTGTGACACACCCCACTGCGTTTATTAATGTACATGCGATTTGAGCGAATGTGGTAACTACAGAGGAATCACACTATTGTCAGTACCTGGAAAGGTTGTCAACAGAGTGTTGCTGAACCGGATGAAAGAATCAGTAGACACCCAACTTCGAAATCAACAGGCCGGATTCCGTAAGGACCAATCGATCACGGACCGAATAGCGACAATACTGATCGTTTTAGATCAATCAGTTGAATGGAATTCGTCACTATACATCAACTTTATTGATTATGAGGAAGTATTTGACAGTGTGGATAGGAGAACATTATGGAAACTACTTCGAGACTATGAGACAAAGTTGAATGGAGCATATACAATCGACATAATTCTGATTTCTGTTTTGAATTATTTGGTGAATGTATAAAATTTGATAGGCGTGTATAAGATAAGAATCGAAGAGCCTTTGTTTGGTTAGTTCGTTCGTAAAATATTGTCGCAACAAGTTCTTAGGGACTGGTACTATATCAAGTCCACATAGTTTACTCTAGCCTCCCTGAACAGACCAATTTATTCATTCTTCTCAAGCCACATTTTTACCCTGTTATTTATTCGTTTATTAATCCTGACTTTTTTATATGATCGCATATATACGTAATTACGTAATTATCGTAAGTAATTAATTACCCTCCTCATTGTGTGTGTAACTTATATTTGTTCGACTATAAATATCGATTCACGTTTTGGTAAATCGAGTTGGCTCACATGTCTTCTCCGATCCGTTTCGCTTCTCTTACTCCTTTTGTCTTTTTTTTTCTCTTCTTTTCTCTGATCGTCTGTCTGAATCAACGATTGTATGGAATATAGATATTCGAAATCCAATCTCATGTTTGACTCATTTGATTCCTATTAGAATGGAGCTTAATGGAGATTGTAGCAATTCTAATGGTTGAATTCATGAGTCGATTTAAACTAGACTATCACTGAAAATCTTGAAGTACTGAACGGCTGTTTCTTTCTAGTATAGCAATGCGCATCCACGATTCCACTTGCAGGATATGAACTTTCGGTATCGTGCATTACATTGTTGTGTGAAATGATTTCATCTATATGGCTGGCTAAATAGTAAGTAGTTTTGCATGATAGCTAATTAGATCACAGTGACAACACAAATCCTAACCTTTTAATTCTTACCCTAAATATCTAATCGTAATCAAGAACAATATGTGAACTCTTAGAATTCTGTTTGTATATTACTAAGGATTGGAGAAGTTGAATAGTTTTTTTTCATAGCGATGAATGAGCGTGGTGTTTTTTCCGACTTACTGATAAAGTAAATTGTGGAAGATTTTGTAGCAAATCTATGTTATTAGTTCAAGCTAAACATTTTCTAGATCCGCTATCTGACTCCATTATGAGTTGGCACATTGGTCTTCTCCATCTGGACTTCGCGTTTGTCTGAGCAAACGAGTGCCTGAGATAAATTCGTTTGACTTAATTCACATTTTGCTTTTATAGCCGCTGTCATTTGAAAGGGGTTAGCCTAAATGGAATATATCAAATCAAAAGGAGAATTTATGTATTGTAAGGAGAGATGGATATCAGATGACAGTGACAAAACAAAGACTAATCCTTTAATCCTTACCCTAAATATCTAATCCTAACCAAGAACAATATGTAAATGCTTGGAAGTCTATTTGTATATTTCTAAGGCTTGGAGAAAATGGATAATCTTTATTCATAAAGACGAATGAAGGTGTTCCTTTTCCGACTTACAAATAGAGTAACCTATAAACTTGATAGTTAAATATATTTCTTTCCCCATGTTAATATTCTTATTAAGATATGAATCCATTACCTTTTGTTCCAAAATCAAAACGTTATCCACTAAGCTACTGAGTTCAAATAGTTAATAGCTTGTTGGTTTGAAATTTTTTAATAATTACATAATATCAGAAAGGGTTCTGTGGAGATTGTAGTAATTTCAATAGCTGAGATCACAGAAAACCCGGAAGCAATAGAAGGCCGTTCCACCCTATTCTGGGATTCCTCAGAAGTGAGCATCCACTATCCCGCTTGCGGTGTTCAAACCCATGACCTTTGGTCTCGTGTGCAAACGATTAATCTCTAGACCAATGGGCCGGTATCCCAACGGTGTTAATGTCTAACCTCAACCAATCCATGGAACTGCGAGATCATCTTCCATTGTACTGAGGTAGATACCTGTCTTTACCTGACATGGATTAGCTGCACTGGACACAGTTTCTCACTAGAACTACGAGAACTGTTTCATGATGCTAGTCACTAGTGAGCACATAATTGTTATTCTTTATAAAGAATGATTTCAAAACTAGTCTGTTAAATACCTCGGTTTTAATTCACAATGATTGAAAGAAATTCTAATGAACGCGAAATTGTACAATTGAATTCAGTTATTTCCAAAGACCTTCCATTTCTTTAACTTGTCTTTTACTAGTAACAAACGTCTGAAATATCATGTTGTTGAGATGAAAGACTTAATTATAATGATTCTTTGTTAACATATTCTCTCCTTGAATGTTGAATGAATTAGTGGTTAACTGAACTCAGTAGACAAAGGTCTTGAAATTAAAAGCTGCAATTAGTCGAATCGAGTACATACGGTAACTTAAGTATGGAGAAATAGGTATACCCAATAGATAAGTTGCAAATAGAAAGAAAATCGATCCCCAAATACCATCTCCGATGTGAATCTCATCTATACTTAACTAACATTTTCCAAATTTGATATATGTAACAAGTGGATCTAAAGTTTATGTAAATGATCATGAAGGACGTTACAAAAGACCATGATAAGATTTTTCGAATTTTGGACCAATGACCATACCGATTGTCCTAGTTGAGGATCTAGCACTTAAAACGTAAGGAAATTGATAGATACCTTCAATATTTCCCACTCAAGAGTACTATATGGTTTCTAAGCTTGAAATATCTAAATTAAAGTTTTCTGACAATAGTGTAATAAAAGTGTGAACATCAACTCTAAGATGCAGGTACATCCAGCTGACGAGTCCAAAATAGAACGAGACGCGCGTCCTGGATTCCACTGCTAGCCACTATCCATCACTGCGTAATAAAAGTTAGCTGATATAGAAAATTTGATCTTGACGACTGTTCAGTATAACTGGCTTTATACACCCGTACATATAGACGTTAGATTGACATTTTCTGGAATGTATATGTTCCTTCTCTTTCAAGTATCTATGGTTAATCTGTGGAAATATACAATATAATTCATACTTACATCCCTTTGAATACAATGGTTCAACTAGGAAACGTTAGATTCAAATGTTTGAAGTTTGTAAGTTCAACTTTCATACAGACCTGATTTATTCATTGTAAACGTGCTTATCATGATGAATCTTTCAATATATATTCACACTTATGACCTTAATTAAATTATGAAATAATAGATGACCGTTTAATCATTGTAGAACTCCTAAGCAGTATGAACTTACAATCCAGGTGGGAATCAAACCCAATAAACTATCGGAATTTCCACACAATGAGGCACAGTTCCAAATTCAGTCAACCGCAGGTATTTATCAAGTATAATTCCCTATTACTGATGTCATTTGTTAGATATCCAATATGATTGATGTTTCCCAGGTACTACATCTCACTGAAACGTCTCAAAACCTGACTCTGGTGAGCAAATAATAATTATCACGATAAAAATTTGTGAAATATAACTTCCTGTGACCGTTCAATTGAGACACACTTGTTATACGCTTACCGATTCAGTGATACCAATGAGATTAAGAAATGACTAGAAAGTTAAGATTGTTACATGAACTAAAGTGGTCTACAAACGATAGATGTACACATACATATTTTATTGTGATCAAGACAAAGATATTAGCTGAGACCTTGACTAGGTACATAATCAGTTTCCAGTAGACTGTTTTGTTTATCATTTTAAGAACTGTTTAACCTTGAGATATCATGTGAGCACAGTGGTGTGAAATGTCTAGACTCCTTCAGTCTATCGAAAGGAGTGATTAATTTAAAGACAGTTTAGATAAATTTGCAATACCGAGCTCCATACTACAAAGTAATAGCTTCCAAGTGTCTTTAACTAATATTAATCCATGATCTTACTTGTCTTCAAATCAAACAATCTCTACAATTCTCACATATTTATTGATCATTATACTTTAGCAAGATGCTTGGTATTTAATAAAATCTTGTTGGTATACACCCACCAGTGACTGCTTGAAATCGTACGAACCTGATCATATAACCTAAAATATGATCCGTTATTTGTTCACATGGTTATTCAATTTCAGTTAATCTCCACACTTAAAAACCGCCTACAGAACTGAAAAATCAAACAAACCTAACAGTAGTAAAAATCAAGAATTTTTTATTATACATATACATATACTTACAATATTTTATGATATGTATACATATACTATTCCAGCGGAAGAAGAAATCAGGAAGAAACGCTGGAAGTGGAGAGGACACACATTGAGGAAAGTACCCAACTACGTCACAAGACAAGTCCTCACATGGAATCCTCAAGGCCAAAGGAAAAGAGGAATACCAAAAAAACACATTACGCCGGGAAATGGAGATAGACAATAGAAAGATGAACAAGAATTGGATGGAACTAGAAAATAAGACCCAGGATAGAGTGAGTTGGAGAATACTGGTCGGTGGCCTATGCTCCTCTAGGAGTAACAGACGTAAGATAAGAGAAACATATACTACTAATAATTTATACACAATTCGTACAATTTTACAGAGATTGAAAAGAGCAACAAATGAGGTGTGAAGGAGATGTGCAAACGAACAAACACATACATAGATATACCCAGAGATATTCCAGTGGATGTACTATGGCCTATTTGAGGATGTATGATCAAAATCCTCATTCATCTTTTTTTTGTCAAACAATAGTCAATTACATAAAAGTAAATATCTTCCAACAACAAAAAAACTCACTTCATGTAACTGATATATACAGATTACAGTTTGACAGAGGGTTATTTAAATAAAGTTTGATTCCTTCCTAAAAGATCTCATATCATCATCTTGTTATATGATATAAGAAAATAATATTTGAATAGATGATATGTGTACATGTATTGAATAGTGAGTAACTGTAAGAGAAATTACAAAATCAAAGTCGTGTTTTTCTTTAAGAGAAACTCCTAGAAATGACCCCTTAAACATTTGACTTGGAGGGGTGGGGGGAAGGAAGGAGGCAGGGAGAAAGGAAAATAAGCTATTTGTTCTTCTTCTTCTTCTTCAAAACAAACAAAAACAAACATGGTTACAAATAAAACTGATTACTTTGTGTCAGATAAATAAATCATGTTTTGACTATTAATCAATTTTATGTAATGTTAACTTATTTATATGAGATTTATCATAACCATTTATTTGTTTAATGGTACCATTCTTCTCATGAAACAATTGTCCACCATTATGTTGTAATGTATCAATGAAATGAACATTCTGTTGTTGTTGGCGGTGATGTTGTTGTTGTTGACGTTTCTCTAAACTTTTAGCTAATCGTTGTTTATGCCAATAAGCTTTAATATAGAAATTAGAGAATAATATTAAAAATACTGTAGCATATAATACAATAGCAGCTGGGAATATTTTAGGATAATTACATGGTGTAGATTGTAGAAAGATTTGACCTTGATGAAAGATAAAAATAATAAATTGAATCATTTGAGCTAATGTTAAATAATTTTTCCACCATAAATAACGATTTGCACCAGCAGCAGCTAATCCATAATAAGTATACATAGCAACATGAATTAAACAATTGATCAATGGAAACATAAATGTTACACCACCTGAAATGTTCAATAACAACAAAAGATAAGTGATTATGGAATTGATTATTAAAATAATGGGTCATTTCAATATGAACTTTGACTTACTTACTTACTTACACTAGTTACTCCTCGTAGAGGAGCACTCTTCATCCAACCCTGTACTGGACAATCCTTTCCAGTTGTTATTCATTATTTTCATAACTGATTCTATTTCCCTACTTAATGTGTTCTTTGACCTTCCACTTTTACCAATCCATTCAAGATTCCAAGTTAGGGCTTGTCTCGTGATGTAGTTTGATGATTTCTGTAATGTATGTCCTATCCATTTCCATCATCTTTTCCTAATTTCTTCTTCAGCTGAAAGCTGGTTTGCTCTCTCACAATAGGCTGTTACTGATGGTATCCGGTCAATGGATGTTGAGTATCTTGTGTAGACAACAGTTTATAAAAACTTATACCTTCTTCATGATGGTTGTATTAGTTCTCCAAGTTTCAGCTCCGTACAGGAGAACTGTCTTGACGTTCGTATTGATGATTGTGATTTTGATATTGGTTGACAGTTGTTTTGAGTTCCATGTGTTCTTCAATTGTAGGAATGGTATCCTTGCTTTGCCAATTCTAGCCTTTACGTCTGCATCTGAACCTCCTTGTTCATCGATGATGCTTCCCAGGTACGTGATTCAAAGGGTTACAAAATTACAAATATGAACTCAGCCACCATTCTGACTAATGTGAGTGTTGATTCACTTTAGAAACGATTAAATGATGTTTGTTAATTTGACTTTGTGCGATTAATTGGGGATGTTATCTGTAACGTTACAAATGTTAAACGAGTGTGTTGCATGTTTTCGGGAAATTTGCCGTATATTTAGGGGGTATGTGCTGTATATGATAGTCATCTGGAATAATGGACTACATTAAACTAATATAGACAAAGAAGATAGTTGTGTACATTTAAAGACACTGAAATTTTTCTGTTAAAATCGCACTCCGATATGCATCATCTACCCTTTAAATGAATGAGAAATTGTCCGCAAGTATTGCATACAATACGTTTATGGAACAGTGGAAAACGTTGTAAATAATCCCTTGTTAATTGATTTCAAAGTCAGACAAACTTGAGACTGACTTACTAGACATTAATAATAAAACCACAGTTTACATTGCTATATACCCTCGTACGGTCGAGGGTGGGGAGAGTCCATTCTACCTCTCGAAATACTCTCACATGGCCACGCATATACAGCCAGGCCCAGGGAAGTTCTACTCACTACCTTCTCGCACCCGGGGTGTTGTTTACGAAATTGAGAGGACGAAAAGCGAATATCGGGCGTTGAAACCAGGTTGATGGACACGGAAGGTTCACCTAGGGAAGCAGAAGAACTCTGATTCCAACTGAAACTAACAAATAGCGTATGGATCAATTATTGGTCACCGACTACAATGGGACTGCATCACCTTAAGTTTCTCCACTGACTTTTAGATTAGACTTTTAGGTGTAAGGCTCCAGGTGTGTTCCCGTAAGAAAACCACCTGGTTCGGTTTTGGCACCCGGGCAATATCCTAGCCCTCACATAAATCAAATGATTTATGTGGCGCATATCTATTTGATGCCGCCTTGTACCAATATTTATGTGTTTAAATAAATAAATAATACTTTCAAATAATGCTTAAAATGATTAAAATGAAAACGACAAATTGGTTCGTGGCAACATAGAGTAAAACTAGTAATGTTTGACTTTTTCTTATATAGACTATATCTAACAGATAAATCGACTCTGTTCCTAAATCCCAACACTAAATCGTTAATCATTAGCTTAAATAACTAACCCTAACCAAGAACAATATGTGGACGCTTAAAAATCTATACAGGTCGTTATAAAGATTGGAAAGGATCAATAATCTATATCCATAAGGACGAATTCATATGCTTTCATAGGTAGAAAAATCTATTGAAAATTCTTTGTAATATTATTGTCTTTTTGACACAAATAAGTCACTTAAAAAAAACAGTTTTCTGATTTCAAATAAAACTGACTGAAAATTCTTCGATTGAGATCATAAACCGATTGATGTTAGACCACCACTGAAAATCTGGAAGCACTGGATTGTCGTTCCATCCTAATTTGAGACTCCTCAACAGTGAGCATCTACGACCCCACTCGCGGGATTCAAACTCAGGGCCTTCAATCCTTTGCGAACGCTTAACCTCTAGATCACTGAGTCGGCAATCCAATAGTGTTCATGTCCAACCTCACCCAATCCACGACCATCTTCCATTGTACCGAGGTAGGTACCTGTCTCTACCCGACACGGATTAGCTCCACTGGTCATAGGTTCTCACTAGAACTCCGAGAATTCCTTCACGAAGCTAGTCACTAGTGAGCACATGGTAATTATCAGCATAGGGTTGTGGAGATTATGAATCGCTCAATACGCACTGTTGAGGAATCCCATACTAAGACGAAACGACCGTCCAGTGACTTCACGTTTTCAAGGTGGTCTAACATCACTTGATTCATGATCTCAATCAAAAACTTAATAATCTCCACAACTCTATACTGAAAATTCGTCGTAGTTACATAATTTATGAAACAGGAATACCGTTACATAGTTCGCAAAAATTACAGTGTTAAACATATTAGGTCATCACTTCCAAACATAGATATTACACAAGGCATGAATCATATAGTTTTCATATCAATTCCCTTAATGAACTCATAAAGAGATACTTTATTAATGGTATACTGAATAAAGAGTAGGTTGGTAAACTAGGACTGATAACAATGATAACGGAAAACCTCAACAACAAAACACACAATCCAATAATATTAACCAATAACTATTACATATGAACTGAAAGTCACTATTTCAAAAATATATATACATTCATCAAGAAGGGCATTTCACAGAACAAACGTGAGTCACTTTATCAAGTGGTGAGTATACACGATTTCAAATAGTCAAGATGATCAACACTCATACACATGACAATTCATCACCTTCCTACAATCATGGATTTTGTGAAATGAGGTTTTAAATGATGTCTATAATGATATCAGATCATGGATTCCTTAGTACTCACGATAGTGAAGTGGACATTTTCTTTGAAATGATACAACTCATTGTTTATCGCAATGACGCATTTACTGATGAGATTTTACAGCACGGAAATTTTGTGGTTCTTAATGATCTCGGTCTTTTCTTCTCTGGTAGAGAGGTTGTAAAGATTAAGTTTTTGACTGATATCATGAACCGATTGATGTTAGACCACCGTTGAAAATTTGGAAGCACTGAACGGCCGTTTCATCCTATTGTGGGACTCGTCAGCAGCGCGCATCCACGATCCCGCTCGCAGGACTCGAACCCAGGGCTTTCAGTCTCGCCCTCTCTGATAATTTGATACATTTTCAATTGTTTTTACAAATAGTGGTCACTTTAATCAGTGCACTTTTTGTTCTGCAGCAAGTATTCCATATCATGAATAGAAAAAAGATATACTTACTAGGTCACATTAGATAGAAAAGTCAATCGAAGAACGTGTGATATCTCGAAAGTCAATTACAATTTGAGTGCAACTTAATCAATTGGTCTATATATGTTACAGATTTTTAAGTGAACAATGAAATACTATAAGCAATAATCGAACCATTTCACAACATCCTTCTCAAAATCTATAAAACTCATAGTAATAATTGATTGAAATGAGATATGCACAAAGAAAGTGTTCCACAGACCATAATTTATCGAATTATTATGTAACAATCATTATTTCTTTACTAAATTACCACGAACAAGTGATCTTGATGGAGTTTTCTTCTCTGAGATCGATGGTTTGGTCGTGGAGATTTCATCATTCTTCCCAACGATATTATCTTCACCATCTCAACAAGTGATGTACTAGACACTTAGAACTAAATCGAATATTGATAGACAATCACGTTTCAATGATAGAAAGTCAACTTTGGTGTCAAATGATTGTAGTTAAACAATCAGATGTATTTGCCTTAATTATCATTCATCACCAATGGTGCACATGGGCTCCAGTATCCTGAGGGAACAAATGGCGAATGAACCTATTGTTGGTCACCGGCTTCCATGGGACTGCATCTCCTTACGATGATCCACTGCCTTGTGGATCAGACCTTCAGGTCGAAGGCTCGGGGTGTGACCCCCTAAGAAAACCACCTGCTTCGGTTTGGGCACCCGGGCAGTATCACAGCCCTCACACACATATCGAATGAGATTTGTGTGGCGCATATGTATTTGGTGCCTCTTTGTACCATTATCTATGTGTTGAAATAAATAAATCATTCATCATCCCTGAATTGTGCAATGGTCATGAAAGTCACCTGTAATGTAACTTATTCATCAAATACATTTCCGTGTTCACCTTTCATCAAATGGATTACATAGAAAAGGAACATTTTCTATACTCATTTCACCTTAATTAATGAAGATATAAACCAAATACAATAAATGAGCACCAAAGGTATGTTTAAACAAATTCATATTTAGTATACACCATAATAATGGGTCATTTGAATATTCTCGTTAGTTATCGATATCTAACAGAATCTAACTCTTACATTGAGAAATTAATTCTATCATATTCGAAGTACTTATTAATTTGTAAAAAAAATATGGTTTTTACACTCGCACACACTACCTGGGAAGTCTCCATCTCAAAATGCATTCATATGGCCACACGTATACAGCCACTGACAGGGAAGTCCTAATCACTGACTTCTTGTGAGGACGGTATTATTTACGAAATTGAGAGAATGAAAAGAGTATGTCCGACGCTTTAACTGGATTGGTAGACACGGAGAGCTCACCTAGAAGAATTGGAAAACACTGACTACAAACCAATACTACACATGGACTACAGAATCCTGAGGGAACAAATGGCATATCAACTTATTGTTAGTTGTCGGATACCATTGCTCCACTGCTTTGCGGATTAGACCTTTAAGTCGAAAGCTCAGGGTGTTGTCCACTAAGAAAACTTCCTGTTTCGGTCTGAGCAGTTTCCCAGCCCGCAAACATATTAAGTGACTTGTGTGACACATATGTATTCGGTGCCCGTTTGTACCAATATTGATGTGCTCAAACAAATAAATAAATAAGTCACTAGTTCTAATAATCTATACTCACTTAGGTCTAGTCAATATTAACTATCTATATAGACAAGTAAAAACTTTCCAGAGTTTAATTATAAATGTAAATTAATTTAAAGAAAACGATGATTGTTGAACTTACCCGGTGCATATTTTACTCCCCACCAAATTGATGGTGGCATAGTTGCATGATGAAATACATGTAGAAATGTGACTTGATCAACTTTACCTCTCCATAAGAAAAAAACAGTATCTAACAATTCTACAAGTTTAGATACATAGAAAAAATATCCAACCCATACAAGTATATCAGTTCTTTTATCATTAGGATCTGGTAGTTCTACACAACCTAATCCATAACCCAAATTATATGCAGCCCACATAGTAGTGAATGAGATAATAGCAGAATAGATAACCATTATCACATTATATAGAATCATAAGTTGTTTAATCATATTATTCGATGATGATTTAGTATTTTTCATGATAGAATTAATTTCCTCTTTGTTTTTAAGTTGATTTTTATGTCTTTTCAAACATTCAGCTTTCCATGCATATACTCCAATAATATAAGTTAATGTAATTAAAGCTGTAGGTGTCCATGAAGACATTAAAGGAAATGTATCTAATCTAGGATCTGGTTTTGGTGGTAACAATCCTTTTGATAACCATTCAAAGATATTCATCTTAAACAATATTAATGAACGAATTTGAAACTTTAGAAAATCTATGATGACCAAGTGTTAAATATTCATTTTTGTCTAAATTTAATTGGATAATGATTTCTTAAAATAAATTAATATTTGATTGGTCAATTTCGAATGACTCATAAATGAATAACCAATCAAATTCAAGTTTATGTTATCTGTGCAAAATTAGTCAAGAAATCGATAAATGATAAGAAATTAGTGTAGGCGTGGTATATTTAGGTGGCTAACAATGTTGGTGGGCGGTCTATGCTCCTCCATGAGGGTTAACAGGCGTAAATAAGTAAGTAAGCAAGTAATGCTATATCTTCTAAATTTTACTCAATGTTATCTTACTGTTAAAGTAAACATGTTAGTATAATGTATAACACATGTCAGTATGTGGTTGTAGAGATTATGTTTTTGATTGAGATCATGAACCGACTGAAGTTAAATCACCATCGAGAACCTGGAAGCACTGGACGGCCGTTGTTGGTCTCCTCAGGGGTGCACATCCACGATCCCACTCGCAGAATTCGAATCCTGGGCCTTCGGTCTCGCGCACGAACTCCTAAGCTCTAGACCATTGAGCCGGTACCCAATGATGTTAATATGGATGCGTGTTGCTGAGGAGTCCCATACTATAACAAAACGGTTGTCCAGTGCTTCCAGATTTTCAATGTTAGTCTAACATCATTCAGTTCATGATCTTAATCAAAAAGTAAAACACTTGTGTTTTAACATACTTTATAGTAATTATCAATATTATATTCAACTCTGGTGTTAATTTTCTGCTATCTCTCTATTCTTAATAGTTTTCCTTAAAATAGCTTTTTCAAATCTAAGTATAATTCAAAGAAATTTCATGAAGACATTGTCGCGTGGCGTCGAGTCCCGGTTGACTATGATCATCACTATAAGACGGTTACGTACCAGATATCAGAAGGCAGTCGGAGGTTGTAGCGAAGTATATTTGTTGGTGATCTCGTGGTATCCAAAGAATACCGAGATCGTACCAAAGGAGTACAAGCGGATTTGCTGAGCAAACGTAAGTTCGCGCAAGGTTACAACCAACGGAAGGAAGAATAGAAGAATAATGGATGACTTTAGTACAGTTAAAATAACAAGTACAGTAAAACAATCACCAGTGCAATTGGTTATAATAATAATTGTTCCCATTAAAGCAATCGCATTCTCTTCATAAAAGTAGGTCACTACAACATCTTATTGAAGTAGAAATTGTCGATCTTCTTTTTTTGTTTAAAATTTCTTTGGGAAATGATATGCATTGGATCGTCTTATATTAATTTGACTTGTACATTACTTATTAAATGGTTGTATCCATAGTTTAATATCTCAGTTAATCATATAGTCGATACATATATATATCTTGAGGTTGTACATTTCGTCTTATCTTATTAACTCTTCCTGTTTCTTGCTCATAGTAACTAATGTTACACTCAGTGCATTAATCATTATCAGAGTTTTATCAATGAGATTAATGGGTTATAAATAACTGTCAAGTTCACATGTTCATCAGATATACCAATATCATCGACTTGATTAAAAGTTATATTAATGGATTATTACTTTATCATCAACTATTTTTAAGGGTTTTCGTAAAACACTAACAAGGATAAATGGAATTTCAAAAAATCTGTTATACAAAGTTTAGACGCTGAGCTGCAGTAATCTCAGCACTGCACATTTCAAATTCATTTCACATTCCAAGGATGATAAATGTTGATATCTGATTGTTTAACTACAATCATTTGACACCAAAGTTGACTTTCTATCATTGAAACGTGATTGTCTATCAATATTCGATTTAGTTCTAAGTGTCTAGTACATCACTTGTTGAGATGGTGAAGATAATATCGTTGGGAAGAATGATGAAATCTCCACGACCAAACCATCGATCTTAGAGAAGAAAACTCCATCAAGATCACTTGTTCGTGGTAATTTAGTAAAGAAATAATGATTGTTACATAATAATTTGAAGTATTATGGTTTGTGGAACACTGTCTTTGTGCATATTTCATTTCAATCGGTTATTACCATTAGTTACATAGTTCATTATTATATTTTAAGAAGGATATTGTGAATTGGAAAACAGTGTTAGTCACAATATTTTTCAGGACATTGGTTATTCTCCTATATTCATAAATCGATGGAAAGTTGACAATATATTGAGAGCTACTACATCTTTGGTACAAAAATATTACCCGTCTATATCAACTTACCATTCAGTGATGTGTCAAATAGCCTTTTTTACATAAGCTTTAGTCAGTTAATAACCTAAGGCTGACAAACTCCTGTGATAAAACAAGCTTAAAAATAATGAACACCATCAACAAACCTAAGATAAAGAGACATACCTGGGTCCACCCGGGCGCAAATACAAGTCAAATGATAGACCTCACAACAACTGAACTTAAGTCAAACCTCGTACATGGTTGTTAATCCACTGAAGCTAATTCAGACAACAATGATTAGGTCAGATAAAACTCCAAATAATAGATATCGTAAACTTAAGACTAATCGCCAAACAGCAAAAATACCAATTTATCCATCAAATAAAACGCACACAGTCAAGCTAGTACAACTTCTAGATAAAACTAAGGATTTACAACATATAGAGAATGTCCTCATCCAAGCTGCAAATAGAACTACTTCTTTAATTAAGTCAATCTCTAAACTCTGGAAAGAGATGGTTGAAAACTGGAATATAACAAAAAAGAAATGGTTAAGCAAGGCAGCCGGAGAGAATGAGCTAAACTACGAAAATGCTTGCAAGAATGTTGACAAAAAGACAAGAGAAGCGAAAAAGACCTATATTTCTGGACAAAATGGATGTTACATCAGAACATTTGGAAATCGTGACAACAGCCATCGAGATATCATGCAAACGACACAGAGAACAAAGAAGAAACACCTTAAAGAAAAAACTAATCAAGATCTCAAAACCACCCGTGGAAGAAAACACAAACAACTGCGTGATCAATCTATCAAAACAACCACTAACAAATATGGAAGAACATCTGCTCCAAAAGGGATTAAACTACAATACAAGCGACGCCTCAAAGCTGGAGTTCTTCGCAGCACTAGAGTCATCACTCAAAACTTCTGGAATCAGTGAAGAAACACAACAGGAAATAAGGCAAACAATAGTACCGATAACTCAACAGGTGAAAGAAAACAACCAACTGACTCCACAAGAACGAAAGGCCTTGAAAGAACTCAGAAATAGAAAAGATATTGTCATAATACCAGCGGACAAAGGACGCACCACAGTAATCATGGATAAAGAAGAATACGTCAACAAAGCCGAAGAACTACTAGAAGATAAGAATACATACAAACTGATGGACACAAATCCCGTCAAAAAATTAGACAATCAAATCTCAAAGACTTTAAACAAACTAGTCAAAGCAGGAGAAATAACAAAACAAGACCAATGGAGAATGAAATCCAGTGGACCAGTACTCCCTCGATTCTACGGCAGACCCAAAATACACAAATCAAACATCCCATTACGTCCAATAGTAGCACTCCCCGGAACGCCAACGTACAATTTGTCAAAAGAAATTTCACGAATACTGAAACATCTAGTAGATTCAGCCAAACACTCCATCAAATCCCCAACACAATTCCTGGACCAAATTAAAGATATTCAAATCAACAACGACGAACTCATGATATCCTTCGACGTAACAGCACTGTTCACCTCAATTCAACAACAGTTAGCAAAAGAAACTATATCCCTGCTGCTCAACAACGACACAAATCTCACCAAATACACAAAGCTTCAAATTCAAAGTCTACTGAAACTCATCGATTTATGTCTAAAAACATATTTTCAATTCAACAACAAAATCTACGAACAAACAAAAGGGACACCCATGGGATCACCAATATCAGGACTGATCGCAGAGGCAGTGATGCAAAGACTAGAAGCCACGATATTACCAGTGATCAAGCCAAAAATTTGGATTCGCTACGTAGATGACACCTTCGTCATCGTCAAAAAGAATGAACTGGAAAATACAAACAAACTGATCAACAACGTTTTCAATGACATCAAATTCACAATGGAACAAGAGTCAAACAACCAACTAGCATTCTTGGATATATTGATCACTAGAACTGACTCAGGAAAACTGGAAACTCAAGTATATAGGAAACCGACCCATACAGATCAAATTCTCAACTACAACAGCAACAACCCAAGAGCTCACAAAATCAACTGCGTACACACATTGTTCAAGAGGGCGAGGACACACTGCAGCACATTGGCAGCACGAAAAAATGAAGAGAAACACCTGAAGGACATATTTCAAAAGAACGGCTACCCAATCAACTTCATCAAAAAGCACCAACGGCACACAGCATCAGAACCCAAGTCAAGCACAAAAATCAACAAAAGGATCACCCTACCGTACATAAAAGGAATATCAGAAACCGCAACGAGACTGCTGAAAAACTTCGGGATAGGTGTGGCACACAAACCAACAAAATCACTACAATCAATCCTATGCAAACCAAAGGATGAAATAACAAAGGAAAACAAATCAAACATCATCTACAAAATAAATTGTACCAACTGCGACAAACACTACATCGGGCAAAGCGGACGCCCCCTCCATCTACGCTTACATGAACATCAATTAGCAGTCAAACGCCATGATATCTCTTCACTTATATCAATACACGTGGATAACTACGGACACTCATTCGATTGGGAAAATGTAGAAATCTTAGACAGAGGAAACTCCAAAAATACCAGAGAATTTTTAGAAGCCTAGCACTCAGGTCAATCAGCAATCAACAAACATATTGAAATCAATCCAATTTATCAACCAATCAGAAAAATCATGCATAAATATAGGAACGAAAATCAAACCAATGGAAGACACAACCAAAACAAAGAAGTAAACAATGATAAATTTAAGGTCAACAAGAACCAATCAACATCGAGGTGCACAGAACAAGCTGTGAAACACATATGGAGAAATTCTAACACTTCACTTCTATTTGAAGTT